TGATGGTTTTATAAGGGTCTCTTCCCCCTTCCCTCTTGCTCTCTCTCACCTGCCACCATGTAAGATCTGTGTGCTTTTCCTTCTGCTACCAGTTGGAGGAAACTCTGCTTCTAAGACTTATGTGATTAGATTAGGCCTACCTGGATAATCTCCCTGAATACTAACTTTAATTACATTAGCAAAATCCCTTTCACCACGTAATATAATGTAATCACAAGTGTGATATCTCTTCATATTCATAGTCTTGATGACTAGAGTGGGTAATCTAGGGGGAGCATTTTAGGGTTTTGCCTACTGTAGTGATGTTCAGAATATTTAAGAAACCAATAAACCCAAATGGAGGCCAGTTATAGTTCTGGAACAGAGTCCTAGATTCTACCAGCTGTTCCAGATGTTGCCCCTTACTTGCTGGATTGTAGGGAGGTCTGGGTGCGTCCCAGAAGGTACAACTGGAGTGGTAGCTATTTACCAACTGGTATGGAAATATTTCAATATTTTAACAGTTGAGTAGCCATATCAGTGCATAGCAGTTGGTTATTAGTCCTGGTTAGAGGGTTAAAAATCATGGTATATCGTGTGAAGTGCCACTTTGAGAGTCTCTGCTTTTATAGTCTCGGCTTTGAGAATCTGAGGTTAGTCCTAGCTGACTGGATGTGGGTGGGGACACCACCTTTCCTTCTTGACATTTAGATGGTGTGCAACAGCCCTCTCTAGTCTTTCCTGCTATCTCGTGGTACCAGGTTTGTTTGGATCAATGTCTTCATTTGCATCAGTGTCTTCCGCAGTGGGAGACTCCATTCATCATCTGGACCTCCAAATGCTGCCACCCTAAGGGAGACAACCAATTATATATATTTGGAATCTCCCCAAGCCATCCAGCAGCTGTGGCTCAGTGAGGCAAGTGCTTTTTACTTATTTTCAGCATTAGAACAAATAATCCACGGCAGCCAAAGAAACCAAGGGTTCTTATTAACTTACTGAGTGAGGCTTTATCACAGACGATTATGAGCACTATGATTTGGAAAGACTAATCTCAGGCAACAGAGGTGTCCATTGTGGGTGGGGTAGGGAGTAGGAATAGGGCCTAAGATAATGAACTTTGTGAGATTGATCTTATATCTTTCACCTAATATTTTTTAATGGATGAATCTGATTAAAATGGCACCAAGGGCAGCTTGCTTGATGGAGCTTGTGCCTATACATCAGTGACAGCAGTGACAAGGTAGATGTATTTTAAAAAGTGTCATTGAGAGTAATCAGGAGATTGAGGGAGATATAAGAATAAAATGAGAAGTAAATCACTGCTAATTGCCAATAACAATAATAATATACAATATGGCCAGCTTCACCTGCTGATGCTGAGACCACAGAGCATAGGCCTGGAGGGATTCCTTTTTCACTACCTTAAGCATAACTCTATACACTACTGAGGTGGAGCCTCCACTGACATGGAAATACAAATTGCCACAGAGCCGTATGTCCACATCACCAGCAGCTCTGAATCCTGCATGGAACATTGACAAAGAGCTTAACCCTTCAAGGGATTGGTTTTTCCTGGTGTTCTGGAGCACTGTCCTAGAATGTACATAAAATAGATTCACAGTGAGGCATATTGAGAACTCAGTCCCTACCTAGACTGAATCAGCCTGTGATATGTTTTAAAATAGGAGAAATTTGTCTTCAGCAGTTTCCCTTTCTGTAACATTTCCCCCTATATCAAGGACCTTGTACAAATTGTGTTCAGTACTGAAGCAGAGCTGTTGCAAATGAAATTAAATCCACCTTCTGGTCCTTACCACTTAAGCAGATCCAGATATTTTTAGTATCAGGTTGTCCAGTATCAGGATTCCACGGAATCTATTTCCAAATAGTCAAAACACACTCCCATAATATCCAAAAGCAGCAAAGATATTATTCAGAATGGTTGGCCATGAGTTCAGATTTATGAGATGGCATAGACCCAATTTAAGCCATTTACCATTGGCTCCCTCCCAAGCCAACAAGTTTTCTTTGGGTGCAGCCATAGGTGACATTCAAACAAAACTTACCAGGTGGTGGTGAGAGCTGGTGGTGATTATTTTCACCCTTCCTAGAAAATGTCACTGAGCTCAGTGAGAAGGACCAAAACTCTGCATTAGGTGACAAGAAAATCTCTCCATTTTCTACTGTCACAAGGAACAATCAGCTGTCAGACACCCAGTGAGAGAACTACAAATGCTTTTCCATGAATATTGCCATTTTGGCAGAGGTGAAGGATAGAATGCCAGGCAGAGGGGGATGAAAAAGTCAACTCCTGAGATTCTATGCCTGCCTCTCCCCCTCAGAGAGAGAGACTAGGAGTGAACATAGCTCATTTCAGAGTTCTTGGCCTAGTTGTTTGAATGGTGGGAATAAATGAATAGAACTGAATTATATTTCATTTCAAATGCGATAGAAGAACATGATTTCAGAGCCAGAAAGGACCTTGTGAGCCTATCCTGTTAATCTGTAGGCACCCAGACTCATAGGATGTCAGAGCTGGAAATGATATTAAAAACAATTGATTTCAAAACCCTCACTTTTTGGACGAACAGATTGAGGCTCAAGAGGGGAAAGTAAGTTACTAAAGGCATCCAGTTATAAATGACAGAGCCAGAATTAGAGTCCCTGGTTTATCAACTTCAAATCTTTTTTTTCCCCACTATATCCTCTCCCTTCTCTACAACCTAAATACTTAATATCTAAACTATCCTAGCAGACAATTTTATATTCTAATTTTTTAAACTCTCCGATAACAGAAATTCTATAGACCTACCTGTGAGAATATATTTATTTCATTGACATTTATAGTTAGGAATTTCTCCCAAATATATAACTCAAAAGTCTCCTACTCCATTCCTTGTTGGTTCTGTCCTTAGTGGAAATGGATCATAAACATTCACTATTACCAATAATATTTAAGATGTGGACAATGTGTGTGCATGTACAACTATATATGTATTTACACACATATATACATACATATATATGTTTATATAACAAATAATTTGAGCTTATTTTATACAGGCTAAATAACTCCTCAGTGGCAAACAAAATCTGAGAAATAGCATCTAGAAAATAAGACAAGACCTGGGTCTTTTTATTCTGTGCTTTCTCTGCTACAGCAAAAGCTTTCAGCAACAGACTGACCCAGATGGGGTAATCTAGCATTATACTAGAAACTGAACATCCAAATTTACTAATACCTGACTAAATCAGACCTCAGGTAATGAGTACTCCTTTCCTAAAACCCAATTTCTAGGAATTATACACAGATTAAAATAAAATAAGCTAAGTTAGGTATCTACTTTGACAGGAAAACCAGGGCAAGGCCTGAATTGATCCCATATCCTACACCTTCACCATGTCTAGTCTAGGGTAATAAACACTGATGATCTAAATGGTGACATTATGGTAAAAAAAAATTCAGCAATGGACTCTACTTAAGAGTGCCTCCAAAAACTTAAATTTACAAGAAAAAAACAAACAACCCCATCAAAAAATAGGCAAAGGATATGAACAGACACTTCTCAAAAGAAGACATTTATGCAGCCAACAAACATGAAGAAAAGCTCATCTCACTGGTCATTAGAGAAATGCAAATCAAAACCACAGTGAGATACCACGTCACACCAGTTAGAATGGCGATCATTAAAAAGTCAGGAAACAACAGATGTTTGGAGAGGATGTGGAGAAATAGGAACGCTTTAACACTGTTGGTGGAAGTGTAAATTAGTTCAACCATTGTGGAAGACAGTGTGGCAATTCCTTAAGGAGCTAGAACCAGAAATACCATTTGACTCAGCAATCCCACTACTGGGTATATACCCAAAGGATTATAAATCATTCTACTCTAAAGACACATGCACACCTATGTTTATTGCAGTACTGCTCACAATAGCAAAGACTTGGAACCAACCCAAATGCTCATCAATGATAGACTGGAAAAAGAAATTTGTGGCACATATACACTATGGAATACTATGCAGCCATAACAAAGGATGAGTTCATGACCTTTGCAGGGACATGGATGAAGCTGGAAACCATCATTCTCAGCAAACTGACACAAGAACAGAAAACCAAACACCACATGTTCTCACTCATAAGTAGAAGTTGAACAATGAGAACACATGGGCACCGGGAGGGGAACATCACACACCAGGGCCTGTTGTCGGGTGTGGGGGACAAGTGGAGGGATAACAGGAGAAATGCCTAATGTAGATGACGAGATTATGGGTGCAGCAAACCACCCATGCATACCTATGTAACAAACCTACACATTCTCCACATGTACCCCAGAACTTAAAGTATAATAAAATAAATGGGGTACAGTTTCTTATATATACTCAATTAAAAAATAGCCACTGGCTGGGTGCAGTGACTCATGCATATAATCCCAGCACTTTGGGAGGCTGAGGTGGGAGGATCACTTAAAGCCAGGAGTTTCAGACCAGCCTGGACAACATATCAGGACCCCATTTCTAATTTTTAAAATAGGAGAAAAGTAACTTCCTCCCCTCTCTGTTTCTCTCTGAGAAGACAATCCTTGTCAGTGGGATTCTTATTTTTCAGAAGGAGATGTTTGCAGTGAAGAGGGATATAGGGTGCTCTTGCCTAGGGAACCAGATCAGCTGAAGTAACCCTGGAGATGAATGAGGTGATGCGTTGCAGCCAAATCGTGCTCGAACCCTGAGTTTTCCACTGAGGCAAGAAAATGGATTCAGAAATTTAGAAATATTTTCAATAGGTAGCTAGAAATTCTTATTCACTAAAATACCTTATATTAGATGATCAAGATTCAATAGACTAAGAGTCCAAACTGAATTGCATTGGAAATAAATAATTCAGTGTAGCAACTAGGAAAGCTAATGTAAATTAATTGAAGCAGATGAACTCTTTCATTAAGCTTCTGATGGATGCCATGCCAATGTTACCTTATCCTGAAACCAAGGTAGGCACTCTTGTAAAGCAAAGCTACTCACGGCAATAAGCTGGTAGGAGTTGTTCATCATAGCAATCAGCATGTTCAGCAGCACTACCAGAGAGATGACGTTGTACGTTCCAAACATGGTAGCTCCTACAAACTCAGTGAATTCGTGTCTGGCTTTCACATTGGTGACATATAAATTTAAAAGGCCAAATACAGACCAGAAGAGTGACTGAAGAGTCTCAAAGAGCCTAAAAGAGATCAAAGAGCAGGTTAGTTAATTCTCTAAGAGCAAGAAAAGAGAGAGAAAACATAAAATGATCTGCTTAATGAGGAGGCTGCCAGATTTGTGAGAGATAGACTGGTAATCTCATATTTTTTGGGCTCTTCCCTAACACAGGCTGACCATCCATGTCCATTTGTTTGTTTGTTTCCACTTCTATGTCCTATGCTTTGCTTTTCTACCTGAAATACCATTCCCTCTTCTTAGTCTATGCATAGCCTAAAAAATTTTCAGGATTATTTCAAGAGCTACTTCCTCTACCAAACTTTCTCTTTTGTCTTCAGACCATGTTATTTTTTACCATTCTAATTATGAAGAGGCAATAAATGCAGTGGTTAAGAATATGGTGCTTGGGTTAGATAGCACTGAATTAGAATCTGAGTTCTGGCCTTTGCTGGCTGAGTGAACATGAGAGCAAATTACCATTTCTGATACTTCTTTTGTGGCTCTCACAGGACCCAGATAGCTCTAAACTGCATGGAGGAGCTTGAGGATTCTCAAATTAACACTTTATGCAGATCATTGTTCATGATACATTAAGCAATTGTGATTGAGACTTTTATTATTGAGAACTCAACTATTATTGAGAACTTATAAGCATGTTAAGTACTTTTACAAACATATGTTATTATTATGATCCTTATAAAATTTTGTAACTGATGAGGAAACAGAGATTCAGAGATTGAGTGACTTGCCCAATGATGCCTTACTAGTAATTTTTGAGCCAGAATTCAAATCTAGGTCTGTCTGCCTTTCCAAAACCACTATATTAGTCTATATTAGATGGCTTCTCAAATTGTTATTTCCTCTCTTAGTTTTCACATCCAAACATGTAACTGCAATGCTATAATTTTGGTGTCTAGGGTTTCTTCTGTTTTAAATTCAGAAATCTGAATATAGCAATAAAATGCAGCCAGTTCATGTGTGGCACAGATTAGCCATTGCCCAAGCCCATGGAAGCCATGTAGAACATAAGAAGTGCTACTTTAAGAATGGATGCATTTTGCAATGTGCTTGAAATGTGTTGTTCTTGATGAGCACAATGTCTTTTGAGAGGCCTAGGGATTTGTTCTTCAGTTCATTTTAGAGGTAAGTGAGAAGTGTTTTAAGGAGTCCCTCTGCCTGAATGTGATCTGTCCCCTGATCTTTACATGGCTGCCTTCTTATCATCAAAGTCTGAGCTGGAATGTCACTTCTTCAGAGAGGCTTCCCTTGGTTGCTCTACCTAACGTATCTTTATCAGTTATTCTCTATTCTATTGTCTTGTTTACTTTTCTTTGCAGCACTTGAAACTTCATAAAATTATATTAGGTGATTTTTGGTTTAAATGTTTATTTTTCTGTCCCTCTCCACTAGAATGTAAGCTCTATGGAGGAAGAGACATACCATACAGCTACTATGTAGCTGGCACATAATAGGCACTAAATGACGTTGATTGAACAAATGAATGAATACATGTAAACTATTACTATTACTGTTATCACTAGATTAAAGTAGAGATTTCAATCCCATTGACAATTTTGCTGTCAGTAGGCTGCACAATAATGGCTAGTTCATTTTGATTAAGGCTGTGCTTTGCGCTGGCCTCACTCTCAGGGAGCCCTTTTGAGGGATGCCTGGGCAATGTCCACATGGCCCTTCTCAACTTGTTAAGTGGCTCTTCTCTGATTATCATAGATAAATTCCATGATCTTTTCAGCATCACACTGCTGGAGAGCTAGCCTAACAGGAAGAAATTTGCTTTGAAAGTAAATGCCAGCTGGTGAAGCATTTGAGAATCAATAGTAAGATGAGAGTCTGGAGTTCAGGGGCCAGGGCACAAGAACCAGACAATATGACAAGTCAGACCTCTCACAGAATGAAAATTTTCAGGAGTCAGGGCCAGGCAACACAAGGCATCACATAGCCAGGGAGAGGGTTGAAAGATGAGGAAGATATGGGGCTAAGTAATCTGGCTCTGGTAGGAGGGCACAGTAAAAACCTGATGATGTCTATTAGATACCAGAAATCAGGCAGGCAGGAGGCCAGCAGTAAAGAGCACAAGCAAATAGCACAGCAGCTGGTTAACAGAAGCCAGGGCAGATTGTAGTTCAGAATTTTAAAAAGCCGCTGCAGTGAGTAGGAATGTCATTCTGAGGATCCAGAGTCCCTGGAAGTCGAATGAACTTGAACACAGAATGCATTCAGTAAGTGTTTGTTGATTGCCTGACATACACTAAGGCCACAAACTAGAGCAAATATGTAATCAATATGTTGATTGATAGGGTCATACTGAATTAGTTGCTTTTCCTGCATAGATAATGTTACCTTCTCCTGTACCTGTACAACAATTAAAATTGCAATGTTTTATGGTTAAGGATAGAGTTTCCTGCTAGTTGTCCCATTTACTGATGCAAATATTCCCTAAAAGTAAAAGTCTGAGCATTTAAAATCTTCCTTCAGCCATGCATGCCTATAATCCCAGAGCTTTAGGAGGCCAAGTTGGGAGGATCACTTAGACCCACAAGTTTCACACCAGCCTGAACAACGTAACAAAGCCCTGGATCTACCAAAAAAAAAAAAAAAAGCCAGATATGGTGATGTGTGCCTGTAGTCTCAGCTACATGGGAGGCTGAGGTGGGAGAATTGCTTGAGCCCAAGAATTTGAGGTTGTGGTGATCTATGCCATGTACTCCAGCCTGAGTGACCAGGCTAGATCCTGTTTCTCTTTATAGCTAAGTAAATAAATAAATAATAAACAATGAATGAATGAATAAATAAATAAATGTCCCTTCGGCTGTGCTGATGTAAAATTGTTCAAGAGGAGAAAAGGGGGAGGGATAGGAAATATCATTCCTCCATTTTGGTGGTTGGTAGTGAGAATATCCTCAACATGGTACTCAAGATGTTACAGTATGGTCCAGTCATAAGGAGAAGCTGGCCTGCTGCAAAGCACACCCAGGTAAAATGAGGGACTGGCATGTGAGGTGGAAAAGAATATTCTGGTAAGACATCTGCTGGAGGCTCTGTGGCTTCTAAACTCAGTTTAACATACAGGGAAAGGACCACCATTTGTGGTGGTAGGGGTGTATTACTTGATGATAGGTCTATAATAAAGTCATCACAGGTAGAGAAAGATTTGTTGACAAACCCTAGAATCTTAATAACAAAGGAATTTTTTTTTATTTTAAAGGAGGATTATTTTAGAAAAAGCAACTAGTCCATTTTTATTTAGCAGAGAGTAAACCAACATATGGAACAAAGTTCCATATGTTTCTAGCTCAAGAAGGGGCATAGACTGAATATACGAATATTCAAAAAATCTTGATATTAAATGCACAGAAGACAAATTCATACCAGGTGGTTAAGAGAGAACTTGCACATTTTGGGAGCCATCCACAAATAGATCACAAAGCAGAGGGGTACAGTAGAATAGAGATGGGAATTCAGTCCTCTGAACATTTGCTGCAAGTCTCATCTTCGAGATGAGGAATTAATCTTTCAAAAAGTAGGAGTATGGGAAGGATTTACTCCTCTGAACTGAACTCAGACCAGCAAAGATGAACTGGAGGGTGAACTCAAAGATAAGGGCTTGTTGGGAGAAAGCAGTGACATCATCCTGTATTCCACAAGTTGTATGTTGATAGACTAAATGGAGCAAAAGCTGTAATTCCAACACAGGTGGCCCTTTGGTGTCATCCTTACTCATTCTTCAGTTCCCTGGCCCTGCTATTTCTCATTTCACCATGACTTTGACAAGCTCCTATCTCTGGATAGAATACCCTCACCCTGCCCCCAACCTCTAGCTTCTACTTCTTTCCTGTCTCCTTTTCTGTCTAATTCTTGTTTGATGTTTGAGGCTCAAATGAAGCTCTTCCTCCTGCAGAAGCATGCCCCAACTCCTTTCCTACAAGGCTGGGTTAAATGCTACTCTTTTGTGCTCCTATAGCACCCAAGCCTTGTTCCATAAATGCACAAATCACACTGTAGAGGCAATAGAGGAGAGTGTCTGAGAGAAAACTTTAGACCCCTTCATTTATTACATAACGTTGGGAAAGTTACATAGCCTCTCTCAACTTCAGGTTTTCCTCATCTCAAAAATGGTTCTTTGTAGGATAAATACTGACTGCTAACATTTATTGTGCACTTACTACATGCCAAGCATCGTGCTAAGTGCTTTGAATATACAGTTGTCCCTCGATATCTGCATAGGATTGGTTCCAGGACCTCCTTCAGATATCCAAAACCATGGATGCTCAAGTTCCTTATATAAAATGGCATAAGCACATATTCTCCCATATACTTTTTTTGGGAGAATAAAAAATGTATTTCTTTGTTGATTTCTATTTATTTATTTATTTATTTATTTATGGAGAAAAGATCTCTGTCGTCCAGACTGGAGTGTGGTGGCACAATTATTGCTTGCTGCAGCTTTGAACTGCTGGGCTCCAGTGACCCTCCTGCCTCAGTCTCCTGAGTAGGTAGGACTACAGGCATGCACCACCACACCCATCTAATTTTTTCAAAAGTTTTTGGAGAGGCAAGCATCTTGCTATGTTGCCCATGCTGGTCTTGAACTCCTAGGCTCAAGTGATCCTCCTGCTTTGGCCTCCCAAAGTGTTGGAATTACAGGCATGAGCCACTGTACGTGGCCCATTCCATATACTTTCTATCATCTCTAGATTGCATATGATACCTTAATACAATGTGAATGCCATGTAAATATTTGCTATATTGTATTATTTAGGGAATAATGACAAGAAGAAAAGATGCAACCATTCATTTTTTTAAAAATATTTTTGATCCACGGTTGGTTGAATCCATGGATGCAACATATATAGATATGAAGGGCTGACTCTATTATATTTGGTTGTACCTCTATAAAGTAGTAACTATTGTTCTTCTGTTTTTCGGATGAGATACTGAGGCACAGTGTGGTCACACAGGCAGGAAGTATCAAGAGGTAGAATTTATACCAGCTCTTTTGAC